TGCTTTGTACTTCCAAATCAGGTACTGATGGTGTACAAAGGTTTATCGAATTTCTTGAGAATGTTGCCAATTACAGGTCATTCCTGATTCCACTGAGCTCTCCACGTTTTACGTCCCACTTGAGATGATCGAAAGATCCGGCGGTTTCCTGATTTTTGATAAGTTACCCAAAGACAAGCTGAAGAAGGTGAATGGAAGGAAAGTTGGCGGTCTGTGGTAGACATCCCCTGCCATGAAATTTCCGTTATCCTTTAGAGATTAAAAAAGCTATCTTTTGTAGCTACTCAGATCCTATAAGGTTACTGGAAGTTTTTCGAAACTGTTCTAACCTAGTCAATACATTTTACAGATATTTTGTTATTGCTCAACCTCTCTTATGAATCTGTGATCTGAACTTGCTTTTAACTAAGTGTGTAGCTCTCGTTGTTACTCTGTTGTTGTGAAGTTTGAAATACATTTTATGCTTGCAATTTTGCCCTACTAGAGACGGATAGGAAATGAAGCTTTTCGAGAGAAGATATGTTGCATTGATAATAAAGTAATGTTTGTGTGCAGATGTAGCCGTATTTTTCGATAAGCTGAAGCAGCAACACATTTAGATTGGGATTACATAAATATTTTGGGGAACATAGACTGATGGGAAAATCGGCGGAAAGAGTTGCTCGAGTATTGATTGTTTCGGCCTTCTTGTTGGCCTGATCTTTATGATCGGTTACGACCCTGATTGGGGTAATGGTATCAATTTATACATGGAAGAGTCGGAGAGAGTTCACGAGAAGCAATTGGAAGAAATAAGAATTGACTTTGTTCGCCTTGGGAAAGTTGATGATACTAGCCTATTCGCTCACGGGCGATAGGGAGTGACAGGCGGGATGGGTTTGGCCCAGTGCCAAACCAGTCAGTTTGTTCAATCGAGCAAGTGACAGGACTATCATAAAGTTCGTAACACTCGTTTTCTATCAATTATTGTCGCATACCCGCTTCAGCAACTAGCAGGAAACGGGTTTAGCGCCACGCCGAACCCATCGCGCCTGACACGCCCCTTCACCCGCAGCAAACTAATGTTTATCTGTTTTCTCGGATTCTTCTGTTCACCATGTATCCGGAGAATGAAAGTGGCACTTCGCCAATTTGGCAAAGCAACACGGCGAACCAAATGTTCGGATGCTTTTGCGATCAAATGGGTGGTAGCGGAAGGATCTCCTTTGGACATATGCTGGGCCGCATTCATACTTTGCGTCAGCTTTTTCAACGAGTGCCCGCGAAAAGTTTAAGTCTACCCGCGAAACGCTCAAAACGCTAGATCGATACCTACACTTTTGTAGTGGTTAAACGCTGTCATATGCGCAAAGTCAAAAGTGCTGCAGTCCTGGAATATACTACTTCCGCTGGGAGCAGTACATGTACGGCTGTTTCCGCAGGGATCTGATCCCACTAGAGGCTGGCTACTGCCCGACATTGCCCACTCGGCCTCGGTTTTTTGTGAAATGGCACGCGACTGGGGATGTGATTGCTCCGAACAACTGCCTCCCGACACCCGGTAAGGCGGCTGCCATTCGCAAAGACTCAGCAGCATCTGCTGGAAAACAGTTAATGCGTATCGGCTTGAACAATCCGCTGTTTCCGCGGAATATGAAAATGCGTACAGAAGGCGGAGATGAACATCTAAGTTCTTCCATGTTTCCTTCCTCGCTTTTGCCGATCCTGCCAGTTCCTCGGATCTTTGTGTGAATGCGACCCAACTAGCGCCTCACGCGACGTTTTCGTAGACTCCGCCTCATCACATATTGCTCGGCTGTTGGACGAGTTTTCCGCCCCACGACGTGTCGTCGAAGGTTCAACCTCCATTCCGTACAACATGAAACATTTTCCTTGTTGTATGCCCTTTGTTTGCGCTTGATATATTCATTAACTGCCGTTTTGCAACCGAAAAGCGCGAATTTCTCGGAAAATTAGTAAGTTTAACATTACAGGAATGTCTGTCGATCGTTTATTCGATGTGAAGAACGCATTCTTCCTTGGGCATTACCAGCAGTGTATCCTTGAGGCTCAGGTACGTGGTTGAGAAGTGCTGTGTTCATAACAATGTATCAGAGTCAGATAAGTATTAGGACCATTAAAACCAGAAGTTTTTTCGCCTACGCAGTTCCTGACCAGCGAAGGCACTTGGAAGCAGTTTTTGTAATTGGTTTGCGCGAAATTAGTTTGTGACATGTTTTTTCTTCTACTCGAACAAAATTATCCAAAAGTTTCACCATACGACCATCCATTCTAGGCTCTGTGAGTGGTGAAGGAAGAGCTTGTTCAGAGAAGGACTTTCAGAAACTCATCACGAAGGTTGACGAGGAGAAAACTGCCAAGGATGTGTTCATGTATCGTTCTTACATTGCCCAAGGAAAGGCTTCCGTTGTCCTCAGTGAAGTTCCTGAACGAACTGATAATCCTTCCCTGAAAGCCATTCGTCGCTTGGCTGAATATCAAAACCCTGCCAATAGGTAAATTTACTTAATCAGCTTTCTTTTATTTCTTTTTTTTCTTGAGTCACTGTTGTCCTTTCTTTTTAGTCTTGCCTTACTGTTCTCCTTTTCGCAGGTATTTCCGCACTTTCCCTTTATGGAGGGTCTTCTTGGTGCGACTACCCAAGGCATTTGAAACTACGCAAACAGTTTCTGTTGGTATGGGGGTTTAGTGAATCCACCCAGTTTTGTATGGCAGAACCTCATCTGCATAAAGAAATTGGTTCGTTCACCGTGAGGCATCTTCCAACAGACAATGGCAAAATTCCTCATATCACTAGCTCACCATCACTTCTTCTCATCTTCTCGCGTTGCTGCCGAATATTTGAAAAAGGTTCGCCGAAATTCTGTAACTTGCGAGCCGTAACATATCATAGCTTTCGAGAACTTGTGCGAAATTGGAAATACCGCAGTCCGACGAACTGCTTCACCAAAATGCCCTACGGATTGGACTATCCCCTTCTCTTTTCATCTTCATGCGCAGGTGGTATAGTGATACGTCGCTCGCTTACCAGACGCGCATTCTGTGGTCAAGTAGCAGATCTGCATCCCCCACCCCTTCCCGGAGCGACCAAGCCTCTACGCTCAGGGCCCGGTGCTTATATTACATTCATCATGCCACTACGACTTTGGATGGCAATGGGGTGCGTGCCGCATCCTAAAAAGAGTTTGATCATGGCGAATTCTTTACAATCAATTTGCGTGGCCAATAAAAAGTAAGGAAATAGTCGTCCTTCACGGCTACAATCACCCTTAACAATCACCCTTATCTTCCTCTTCAGGAAGCCCCCCTCCCTATATGCGGGCGGAGAGGGTGTGAGAGGTATAGCGAGCTTGATACGGGGAAAATAGGCAGTAAAACGTTCATCAGGCCAAATGCCATTCCCTTCCACTCAGCGACCAAATGCAACATTATTGTCAAAGTTTTCTGACGCATGCCCTACGCGTTCGAGCTCAGCTCGTATGGATTTTTATTGCAAGTATGTCTTTTTCAGACAGCGCATCGCAAACCAAGTGCAAAGTGAAGTTTCTGAAGGAACAGCTGCAACTGATGATGCCTCATGCATTGTTGCCGCCCTAATTTTGAATAATGAAAATGTAAGCTTGTTTTCATCAGAATAACCATTTACACTTTATTTTCGTGCTGCTCATGACCAGATTTCACATTTTGGGAAGTAACTTTTTTATCATTTAGAATCCAGAAGATGCTATGCGTATCCTTTCAAGAAATGACTCTCTGGAAGCACATTCTGCCACCGTTTTCACTTTGCTTCAGATGGATAGGGTTGATTTGGCTGTGTAGGTTCACATCTTTGCTCTTTTGAAAGTCACATGGTGTACATTTTAGTATTAATGTATTAGCAGAACATTTTTCTTTTCAGAAAAGAGTTGAAGAAAATGAATGAAATTGATGAGGATGCTACTCTAACCCAGCTCGCTCTTGCGTGGGTCAACATGGCCGTGGTGGGTTCATCATTATGGAACTATTCAAAGAATTACGTTCTTCAGTCAAACTTTGCAAAACACGCCCTTGAAAATTTCTCCTGTGGTTTGGGATGTTTATCAGAAGTGTACCACTGTCCCGCTAGTTCCCGAAAATCCCCCTTCCCCCTGAAAAAAGAACTGCCGTGTCGAAGGGACTTGGGGAGGGGGAGGGAGGGAGGAAGGGGTGACAGAGGTGTATACCGCACGTGAGAACGTGGATCGGAAAAAACGAGGAAGGTCGGTAACAGCATGGCTAACTCAAAGGCTAGCATGACTCACGCCCTCCCTCCACCGACCAAATACTACCCCATCGTTGCGGGTCCCCCAAGTGGTAGTGCGTGTTCTGGTAAATGACAGCGAAGGACGGAGGATAGTCATATTCGCTGGGGAGGGGGCGGGGTGGTCATTCTGAGAAATTTTCTACTTAGTTTTCCTTGATGCGATTCCGCTAGGGACAGCGTTTGTACTCAAAAGAGTTACCAGAACGTTTAAACGTTTACCAATACTTCAAATTTTTTTAACTTCGAGTTTGGATCGCATTTAAAAATCCATAATCGCACTTTTAGGGCAAAGATAAACTCAAGGATGCTTACTACATTTTCCAAGAAATGATGGACAAATACGGTCAAAGTCCACGACTACTCGTTTCTCAGTCGGCTGTTCTGATTTTACAGGGAAAATATAAGGATGCTGAAGCTTTGCTACACGTAAGTCACTTGGGCGTTTGTTGAAACATTTATCTGGGAGTCTTTTTCTCTTACTCGTGACTGTGGAATTCTGCATCATTTTTTTTTGCATTTCCGTCTCCATTTCCATCGTTTTTGGTTCCGGTTCATCGGTTTGCGATTTCACGTAGTTGAAGGGAAACGGGGGGGGGGGGACTCCACGTCTCTCACCTCCTAAAGCTCAGAGGGGCCTTCATACTTTGGGTCGGCGTTTTGAGCGTACGCCAGCGTTTTGAGCGTCTACTGTGGCGCCAGTTACGATCGCACTCGTAGGCTTAGCAAAGCGTAGAAGGAAGAGCGTCCACGACCAGAGTCGTCGTGGAGTATTGCATTGCAGACGTAGTCGCACGAGCACGAGTTCCCTCCGTAGCATTGGTCTGCTCCCGCCCATTCACCTTCCACGGATTCCAGGATTTGACCCCAGGCAGCGCACTTGTCTTTGCACCGCTTCCGCCTGAAAAGGAAAATAACATGCGAAGATGAGCCGAATTTTTATAATATTGTAATTTGGACATTTTTTAGGATGCGCAGTTGCGCGACGCAAATAACTGCGATGCCTTGGTCAACCTTGTAGCAGCCTTGGTCAACGCTCGTCTCAGTAACCAATTTTCTATGTAAGGACTACGAAGGTATGTTCAAAGCTTCCATACAGTCTTGCTCTCTGCAAAATCCGGGGCGTGTCAGGGCTAGTTTTGGTGCGGCGCTAAGCGGTGCTCTATCGTGTGGAAGCTTGCAAGAGACTACATTTTGTGGCGCCGCATCAAACCCAGCCTTCCTCCCACGCTCTAGGTTCTGTAGCGAACAAGGCTGTACATTCGAGTTTCTGCATCTTAATTAATGAGGAAATGAATGGCAGTCCGAAATAGATCAATATTTGACAAGATCGACTGATCCAAATTTCTTCAATTTCAGTCCATGAAAAGATCCATTGCACAACTGAGTGATATTGACCCAACACATCCATGGCTTACCGATTTGAAAGCGAAGGAAGAGCTCTTTGATGAGCTCGTAGCCGCATAATCTGATGCTCTACAAATGTTAAGAAATTCTAATTACTTGTATGCCTGTGATAATCGTAACAGATTTTTCTTGAATTTACTCTATTCTCGTTCAATTCCTTCGAAGCAACTCATTTTTTTCTATTTATTTACATGTAGTCCTAATTTATTGCTTGAGAAACAGCGGTTGGTTTGTTGATTGGTGTTAATAAATCGTTCCTTTCTCGATTCTCGTCGTTCAATAGAATCTGGATTGAGCCTGCAGAATAGCTATCGATCTTTCAATGGTATCCTTCATGATATTTTTTCCTTTTCAAGTGATTTTCCGTTGCATAAGTAAGTGACAATGATGAATTCCTCCGGCTAGGGACCCTATAGCGCTGAAAGGATCGGTTCTAAAATTTTGAAATTTCCTTAATCCTTCGCCGACTAGAATATCCCAGCTGTACTGCGGTCCCCTTTCCGCTATACTGTCGCCTATTGTCCGGGAGAAGAGTAGTCAAAAGAAGAAGGGAGAAGGCGGGGAGGGAAGGAGTACCTCTTCTTCCTGTATGTATCTCTACCGAAAAATTTACCGAGAATCACCAACCAAGTGTAATGTAGGAATCGGTCGGCTCACCCACTGGCGAATAGTACGTCCCCTAGATTGTCTCCATGGCTCGTCCTGCCGATGAGGAAAACTTTGCAAAATACGCCTCACCCTTCCTCGTACTCAATCTTGCAGTAGTGTCTCATTCGTACCAATTCCGGTTTTTTTTTGGAAAATTCTCCAGTTTTACCCTGGAACCAAGGGGAGAGGGGGGTATAATATGTAGCACACGTGAAACGGGAAAGGCGAGAAAAGTCAACAGCTGAAAAATTTTTTCTACAATTACGGCCCCCTCCCTTGCTGGGGGTCCACAGCGTGCGATGTGCTCCGATTGGCGCACTGATCAAAAACTCCAGTAGACGGAGTACATCGATCCTCATCTGAACCCTGTTCACCAAACTCGCACATCTCTCAACCGGCCTTAAATTGTGAGTGCCAGAGGCGCAGTTCGCCCTGGGAAGGAGGAGGGAGGTACATTGCTAGTTCGCGAATTTCAATTTCCTCACCTTCGTGGTACCCGTAATTCGTGAAAGCTTAGCCAATGGTATGAACTTATGCATGTCTAATAGCTTTCAAAGTTAACAGGTGTTCAAAAAGTGACCAGGATGCGGGGCACGTCGTACGTCGGGGATCCCCAGCAAGGGAGATTGCATATGGTCTTCGGAATTAGGGGGTTTGTCTCTGAGGAGCATGTTTCTTGTTGTTGACTTTTCTTAGTTTGTCCCGACGCACGCGCGATATATACCTCTCCTCCGCTTTGCTCGGCCTTAGTGGTGACCGCAGCTTAACTTCGGGGGAAAATGGAAACGGGAACGTACTAGAGGAAGAGCCTTTAAAGGGTTCGTCAATGCCAGCTGTACCATTCCAAAGCTTTATAGAGTTTAGAGATCCGTTCATTGGTGAGTACTGACAACCGCTCCCCCTCCCCACTAGGACGAA